ACACTAACTACACACACACACACACACACACACACACACACACACACACACACACACACACACACACACACACACACACACACACACACACACACGCACACACGTGTACACACGCCGACGACACAACGCCACACGACAGAATTACCGCGTCGCGGCGGACAGACGAAGGAGGCACTTGATCGCCTGTTTGGGCTCTTGCACACGTGCAACCAACTTGTGGCCAAGTTTAACACCGCCACCACCAACCACGACAAAGGGACAAAGGATGGTGATGGTGCACATGGTGATGATGGTGGTGACGATGAGTTGAAGGGCATGGGCAAGGAGGCGGTACAGATTTGGCGGGGGCGACAGCACCAGGTCCTGCTGGCCATCGGCAACGCCTTTTGTGCTTTGAAGGTGAGCACATGGTGCTGTGTGTACAACTGGCGCACACAAACAAACAAACAAACAAACAAACAAACAAACAAACAAACAAACAAACAAACAAACAAACAAACAAACAAACAAACAAACAAACAAACAAACAAACACAAACAACCACACACACACAATCACTGCCTTCACTGTTACCGCTCCCCGTATATACTGCATTGGCTCCTGGGACCAGGATTACCGTCTTGCTGCGCGCGTGTACGAGCGAATGGTGTTGCCGACAACACCACACGACACGCGTCTCCTCTCGCTTCTTGGTCGCATCGCGCTGCTTGCTGGCGACGTGACGGCGGCGCACCGGAAGTTTGCGAGAGTGGAAGAGCTCATTGGTGACAGCAGCAGCCCGCAGGTCATGTGCAACGCCGCATTCCTCGAACTCGCGAAAGGTAATGGTTGTATGGCGGATGGAGAGTGGGAGGGATGGACATGCTGTGGTGGTGGTGGTGGCAGCGATGGTGATGTCCGTTGTGGCAGCCGCTGTGATTGCAGCTGTGACACTGGTCGCGTGGATATTACAAGGAAGGAGTTGTGGGTTGCATATCATGCGTGAGCATCACACATTCACACATATACACACACAATCGCATGCATGAATGTCCCTGGTTGTGTTTGGAGCTCACAATACACACACACACGCATCTCACCATCAGGCGACACGACAAAGGCTGCCGACCTGTTTGCTGCGGCGCAAAAGGCGACAGACGGAAACGACAGCACGCTGGCCACCAACTGGGCAGTGATGAAACTGTACAGTGGCGATCTCTCCATGGCCATCCGCGCAACAGAGGCAAGCATGAGTCAGCTTGCAAGCCTGGATG